GAAAGATTGACTTTAGATCCTGAAGGTCAGCAAAGTTTCAAGATTAACCTTGTCTAGAATGCCACGAGAAGCATGGATGGTTGGTGAACATGGGTTTTACAGCAAAGGCTCAAGCATACCCTAACTATTAGGATGGACATATCCTTAGTTTTTGGACCCCAAATGAGTTAGGCGGGAGGTAGAAGCTGCTTTGGTTGTAGAAGTTCTGGGCTTGTGCATCCCCTGATGAAATTTAGTCAAACAGAGAGGTGAGTTTACATGCCTCCCAGGTTAGGTACTGAAGTTTTAGGATTTTTAATTTTGAACATAGGTACTTCAGTTCCATTGAAGCCCCTTACTGGATCCTTAGTAGTTATTCTACTTGACATCCATAGATGTTTCAGCCATTTTACTATCTGAGGAAACTGATGCATGAATGCTCAATTACTTGCCTAAGGTCACATGAGGTAATGGAAGAAATGGGGAAAAAGCTGTGACCTGACTCTCAGCCTAATGCCCTATCCACTGAATGGGACCTTTGTTTGAATTATGACATTTAGCACCCAGAGAAAAGGTGAAAAGACATTAAGTGCAAAGGAAATCTGTGTTCTTATAATTCAGAATGCTACTTTGCATTCCAAGTGGTGTAAATATATTACCTTGGTGAGGAACCAGGGAGAACAGGGACTATGTAGCAGGAGAGAACTTGTGGGTAGATGTGTGGAAGAGAAACAGAAATTATGCTGTATAAGGCACTGGAGGCCATCCAAAATTTTTTATTCATTATTACTATTTTTATATGAAAAGGAACAGCTTTCCAGGTCTGGTTGGTTGGTCTCAGATAGAGATTTTGGCAAAGTCTAATCCAAATCCATTTATGTGTTTGTATGAGTCTATACGTATGTGTGTGTGCGTGTCCTCAGCCTGTTTGCATAAACTCTAGAATGTGCAGGTCTGTATTTGCTACTGCTCATTTTTACCCAAGCTATTTCACCCTCCCAGCATTAGTGTAACAAGACTTTTAATCAACTGAACCTTCAACTTCTAAACTTTCTCATGTTTTTAGAAGGGAATTCATTGGACTTTTTATTGGAACACGTGTAAAAATACCAAACTAAGTGATTAAAGGACATTTGAAAAGCACAAAAGTTTTTATATAAAAAATGCAAAATTAATTTAATTACATCAACTAAGGTAAACATGCCAATTTTTAAAAACGTGCTAATATTTCATTTGGGGCTATGGTAGCAAAAAAAACAAAAACAGGAATAAATTTTACTATGACACACAAAAAAATCTAATTCAACAGAAGCATTTTTTTTTATTGAGACTTTGTCAGAAATCTGTCCAAGCCATGACTTGACAATCTGTAAATGCATGTTTGTTAAAACTAAAATGATGTTCCAGGAGAAATAAGTATTTATGTATTTAAAATGGCTTAACCTGTTTATCAAGCTGTTGAGAGCTATTGTTCTTATATAGAGTTTCAGAGATAATTATAGTTTATGTTACGTTAGTTTCTTTAATTACATTATAATATTTGATTTACTTGATTTATCAGAGAAGTATGAAATACTCTTACATGCAAAAGAAGAGTAATTGATTTGGGTTTCTCAGTAGTTTTACATAAAGATGTAAACACGTGTCTTCTTTCACCAGTCTTAAGAAGTTTCCTTTCAGATTCTTACACAGAAATCTTGAACAACTTCAGAATCCAATGTACAGTCCTGTGTATTCTGGATTGAGACCTTGGGAGTTTGGTACTTGCTGTTTAGATGCTAATACTGTATGGACTTAACCTTTTTTTTTTTTAGCTAATTGCTTTAATTCTGCATTTTAAGGTGACATTCACCCTTTTACAGAGAGCCAACATGAGATTTATACACTACTTCAGTGCCATTTATGACTTAAACATATAGCTATTTTAGAGTAATGTTGAAGGAACTCCTGATAATCTGAGACAGTTCACATTTTATTATAAGTAGCTCTCTTCCCTTCATTTTAGTAGGAAGAGGTGACTGACTGACTGCCTGCTGGCGAGTTCTTCTAGTTTCTCTTAGCTGGTGCATCTCCTCTGTACACGGCTTATCCACTGGCCCCATTTCCGATCCAGGCACCGTCTGACTGTGCGCAGGATCTCTTCTTGTATGATTTCAGGGTCTGCCCCTGGGGGTCCCTCCATCATTGTGTTCTTCTCCTGCTGTACTGGTCCTACCTCATCTCTTGGACTTCCTGGGCCCAAATTTCTGGGTGGTTCCAGGTGCTTCTGGAATTTCAGGGCTTCTAGCCATACAGTCTTTAGCTGTTTCTCAGTCTCCATTAAGGGCTCCTTCAAAACCTTGAGCTCCTGAAAGTGCTCCTGGCATTCGGCTTTAGCCATAGCTATGTGTTCTGCAAGCTGCGCACCTATTGCCACCAGTCTGTCTTCCAGGGGGCGAATAGCCTGTAATATTTGCGGCTTCCTCTCTGCACTCAGTGCCACCTCTCTAACCATGCCTGCTTCTAGAAGGGTCTTCAAGGACTGTATCTCTTCCCCAAGTTGGGCTTTTTCCACCTCCACACTTTGCAACTGAATTCGTAATGCCTCACACTCCTCAGTTCTGGCCTTTACCTCTGCTTCAAGGGACTGCATCTGGTCCTCCATCACTTTGTAACCTTCCATCTGTGCTCTAATTTTCTCTATTTCCTTTGATATAATCTTTCCTGTCTCCTCCGACTGGGTATGGCTTTCAATTAACTTGCCCCATAGCTCTTGCACAAGGTGTTCTGCTTGGCAGCATCGCTTTTGCCAACTCTCCAGCTCCTCCCTCATGCAACTCCTCTACCTGGTCCTCCCAACCTCGCAGTTCTTTTTCTATGGCACCTATAATGTGTTTTGACATTATCATCCACTGTAGAAAATCTGCTTCTTCTGCCATCTGGGCTGCGCTGGCTTTGGGTGACCTTGTCAAGAACGCTGTAATCCCCTGCATCTTCTCTTCCCATTTTTTGCTTTTCTCAGCCTCATTCATAATGAGCCATTCCAACGCTCGAGTCCTTTCAGCCCCCTCAGCAATCAGGTACCTGATTTCCTTGGGTCTTCTTTTTTCTTTCCGGATTGCATATGTAGCTCTAAAGTAGCCAGTTTTGCCTCGGCTTGCTCATTTTTAGATTTCACAACTTCTAACTGCCACTCTAGACGGGCTGCTCTCTCCCCTGCTTCATCCACCTGCAACTGCCAGGTAAAAGCTTATTATTTCAGACTTTCCATAGTCTCTGTCTCTGCTATGATTAACTCCAGGTCTTACTTCTTTCCTGGCTGAGGCCTAAAGTCTTCCCTTCTACAATGTCTTGTAGTAGTATTTTCTACCCTCAGCTCTTCCTCCTGAGCTGTGGTGTTGTTGCCTTAGAACAAATCTCTCTGTCTCTCTATTCTGGCCCAAAGATTCATTTCCCTTCTCAGGAACACAGGCTTCTTCCCCAAGCACAGCTGACTTCCTGGCCAATGCATCACTTGTCATGGCATAGGGTCCCCAGGAATGGTCATGATGCCCCTAGGGCTCCGTGACCATGCCTGCTACACCCTGCGGGCACCTTCTAATCTTACTTGCCATGTCTTGTTGGTTGAAATAATGAGCTGGGAGGCTGCCACCGAGTTTGCATGGTCATGGTCCTGCTGAGCCCCACTAGACCCTGCTGATCTTGGATCCCTTGCTGGGTCTTTCTCAAAGTCAGTGCTTCATGAGCTTATGAGCTAGATGCATGGTTTATGGCTAGATGTGTGGCTCTGAAACCTCCCCTTTACCATGTCCCATGCCTCGCAGGTGGTATTCAAATATTGTCCCATTTGATGAGGCCTCAGTCTAGCTTGGCATCCTGTTGTAACTGGGCCCTTGGCCCCTGTAGCTGCACCCTCTCCAGTGCTGGGCTCTCAGCAGCCCTGTTTCTGTGTCCTCTCTGGTGCTGAAGTTCTACAAGGTAGTGTGCCCCAATGAGGCCTCCTCCTCCCCAATTAGCCTTGTCCCCATCCACCAGTCCAAATAATAATGTAAATACAAGCCCCTGGGTTACAACATAACAATAACAATGACACTGGAGACCACTTAAGAAGGCAAGCTTCTCCCTCAGCAATGTGTGCCTCCTAGCCCCAGGTACTTTAGGCGCTCCTAGAGCCCAGTCTTACCAGCAGCAGAACAGGCAAATAAGCATCTTCAAGTAGTTTTTTTCTGCAAGAGCTTCTTCCCCCTGGCTGCAGCCAGAGAAGTAACTCCAGTCAGCCCCAACCCTGGAGCTTATATGTGCCCAGAGCCCTGTTCTCTTCCAGTCAGTTGACCGGGTGCAGGTGCAGGCTAATTCCCTCATTAGTTTTCTGCCAAGGCTATGTGCAGCTGTGGAGCACTGCCTTGCTCTCAGGGCTCTCTAGCTAAGCTGCTTCTGCTCATAAAGGAGCAGGCACACCTTAGTGCCCTGCAACAGTGACTAAAACCTGCTTCACAAAATGTAATAAAAATAGTGTAAGTACGAGAGTGTTTTCAAATGCATTGGGTCATGCTCTCTCCATAACGGAGCTCCACTTAGTAGAAGAGTGAACAGAAGAGTAAGAGGGTAACATATTTGATTTAAACACCCTAAGATTCAGGGTTGGTTTAGTGATGCTGCCATTTGTAGTTGCTGCTTGCAACTACACTGGTTTAGCTCCCCACTGGTTTAGGTTGATAAAATGGAGCTTATGCCTGTAGAAAATAGGTCCAGAGTAGTGGAGCTTTACTGCATGCCTATATAGTGAGTGAGGATGGGACAGAGGTAGTGTCCCTAGTCACGGCACAGTTAGAATTTCTGAGAGTTACCCTGGGTTAGAGGAATATTCTGCTAGATAACTGCAGCTGGATTCTAGCCCCTTTATGTAGCTTGAGTGACACAAAGGAGCTGCATCTTTCCTTGAGAACTGGTCATAGTGATTTACGTGACAACTATTAAATAATGTACAGGCAATATTTTTTCTCTGACAGTTTTGTGTCATTCTGGACTGTATTGTGAACATTCAACACAACTTTGGGCCTGTACCTTGCAATTTGTTCAGCTCAAGCAGAGCAGGTAGATGCAACTGTACTGGGGTCACTGGAACCCTTTGCATGTGCAGGGGTCTCCCTGCTTGGAGTGTCTTGAGGGATTGAGGGCAACATGCCTGTTATGTTTGAATTAAATACACTGTGGGTGCATCTACACATTCATTAGTGTGCCGTAGTTACAGTGCATTAGGTTTAGTACTTGTATAACAAAGTACTAAATCAATGCAGAGAAACTGGTGCTACTGTGCAGTGGTGCCGGCACATGGCTTTTTAATGATGCTACCTCTGCAGTAGCTTAATACTACTGTGCATTAGCATATTAGCTTGTTTTTTGCCCTGCATGCTAATGCACAGTAGAATTACACTACTGTGAAGTATCATCTTGTATAGATGCACCCACTATTGTCTAAGATGTTTTTGCTTTTTCCTGTATGTTTTTGTGCAAGGTTCAGTGATGGAGAGACTGAACCAGTATAAAATCACTTCAGCGTTCTGTTCTGCATAATGTCTTAAAACAATACACTTGAGAACAGCTTTGCTGTGATGATTTGCAATGTTATTATAAAATGATGCATTATTTCTTTTGTAAGGAAGAGAAAGATAAGGAATGTAGATGTAACTCTGCATACAGTGTCCTATGGTGTTTGAAAGCATTTTCCCCCTTTTAATAACCCATGAATGAAGACCTATTTAATAAAAGAAAATACATCTGGCTTTTCACTCTCTAGAAAGCCAAAAGGAATTATTCTTAAGAATTAGTCTGGTTGGGCTTCTGTGTCCTTTTTGAAACTCTGGCAGTTCAGTACCCAAGTGTATTTCTTACTGAGCAAGGTTCAAAGATGAGAGGAATAAAATGGACACTAGGGCAAAAGTTATTTCACTATGGACTTTGATTTCTCTAAAGGTTTGCAAAGTAGCCAAGCCAAAAAAATGGCGGGGGGGGGAGCGGGGGGGGAAGCGGGGGGGCCGAAAACCCAGGTTTTAATGGTCTGTTTTGGAACATGTTTCTTTTGAAAGTAAAGGTTATTGAATATATCGGGTGGGATTCTCAGCTGAAAAATAATTGTCATCATTGCCATCACTGGGCCTTAGAATCTGCTTTATTGTATATTTTCTGTATGTTGAACCTCAAATTTTTTTGAGGACGTTTAATATTATCCATGTCAGATGCATGCAAATAGGAGCTTAAGACAGCCTTGCATGCCTGGACTAGTAACATTGCATTACAGTTTTGTAAGCACGAGTAAAAAAGTTAATGTGAAAAGTGCGGGGGGAATAGATAGTTAGCTTCAATCTGTTCTTAATGAGAGCTGTGACCAATGAGTTGCCCAGGGCTTGCCACGTGGTTTTGTTTTTTGTTTTTTTGGGGGGGGAGGTGGGGTTGGTAGAAAGGCTCCTTCTCCTTCCTTACTCCTTCCTCCTTCCTTACTCCTTCCTTCCCTCCCTCCCTCCCTCCCTCCCTCTCTCTCTCTCTCTCTCTCAATACCATACTGCCAGCCATCTGTTGATAATTACTGTCCAGTCTCTGCTGAGAACTTGTGATATTTAATATTTCCTCACCACTTGAACAAATAAGCGATAATAACTGCAAGGTACTTGACCACAGGAGTAGAAAGATGTATAGCATGAAAGAGTCAGTGTACACCTTGGTTTATGAAAACAACCCCATTTTCTATTAGAGATTAAGATAAATCCCAGTCGTTGAGGACTTGGAGAATAGGTACATTGAGTTATATAGTATCTCAGGGAAAAATAGTTAAGATTTTCTAAGCCACAGAGCTTGAAAAATACTCAATCCATTTTTAAGTGTTTTAGTATTTAATTTTCACTATCTTTATTTAGATTTATAATGACTTTCCAACATTTTACAAGTGGGGAATTTTTCGATCAGCTACCCTGAGAAAATCTTTCTGCCAAATATAAACATTTTGTCTTATCTGCAAGCTAAGCATGAACACTAAAAATGTTTACCCTTAACACTCAATTTCACACAATAGGAATGATGTAAAAGTTTTAAAAAAACAACCAGACCAGTGAAACCATGAAAACTATCTGAAATTGCTGTAGAAACTTTATGAGTGCTCTTTCATTTATATCAATAATAAAACAAAAATTGTAGTAGGATCTTGGCCCAATGATCTCACAGTGATTTACAAAAAATAATTAACTGGCATTGAAACATGCATGATACAAGACTGTATTTTATGAATGGTTGAAAAAATGTATTTTGCCTTTTTGAGTTAATACTTTTTGGTTTTTTGCAATCTATTGAGTGATGCTAACTTCTCTTGCATCACTCAGCATTTCACAGAACTGGGACTTAAGTTCAAGATTTCCAGAAATAACTGATGATTTTGGGTGTCTCAAGTTTTTGGGTACAGACACCTCTGAAATTCAAAGGCTCTGAATATTTTATTTGATCAGATTTGACTTGGGCATTCCAAAGTGGAGACAACAGAAAAATCATTACTCATTTTTTAAAATTTGAGCTTGAGTGATGTGGTCAAAACTATATAGGGCTTTTAGAGAAAAGTTTTCAAAAATTCAGTAGGTTCACACTGTGGGTGCACAAAGATGAGTCCAAAGCCCACTGCAGTCAATGGAAACAGTTGCATTTATTTTCGTGGGCTTTAGCTCAGCCCTATTATGAGTGAGCAACAGAATGATGAATGTATCTCAGACACCCTAGCTTGTAGTCCTTGGGCTCTGAAAGTCCTTCTAGTTAGTAGGTTAGATAAGTTAGTACAAAAAACAAAACCAAACTCATATTTACTCAAATATAATATGACATTGAATATAAGATGACTCCCCCATAATTAGATTCTACACATAGAAAATTTATAAATTTGTTATAATTTTCCAGGTATAGAATTTAATTATTGGAGGTTTGCCTTGAATTTGTCCCCCTCCCATTGCACTAGCAGGGAAAATAAATTGGAGGTGGGGTCAGGGAGCCCTTTTGTTCTCCATCCCCCTACTCCTCCAAACCTTTTTCCCCTGTAGCTGATTCCCCTCTTTTATATTGTCAGACCCTGTTCTCCATGAGCACATGGAAGTGAGGGACAAATTTCAAAGTACTGAGCTTGAAATAAACATAATTTACCATATAGGCAAATTACCAGATACTCATAGACTTAGTTAATCTGGAATTAATGCATTTTACCTTTTTTTGAAATTGCTGCCAATTTTAGCACAGGTACTTCATAAACATACTTTAAAGCAACACTTTTGTACCTAGTACAAACTATTTTTTTGCAAAAATATTTATTTATATATATAGAAATATATATACCTCTACAGACCTGCCTTGTGACTGATACTGTTTACTTGGCAGTACAAAACACACATCTACAATTACATCATCGTTATCCCATTACCATAATTGCACCATACACATGTGCTCCCTTGTGCTCATGCATCTGTATCCCTGTCACCATCTTCTTGAACCACTACCATCATGAGAACTGCCTCTGTTCCCTCTAGCTTACCCTATCCTTCCCATTCTCCACCCCCAACAATCCCTCCATTTTTCTCCCCAATCTTTAGTCCACATCATCTTTGTCCTTCTCTTCCTCCCTGTCATCCTCATTGCTCACCCCCTCTTTATTGATATCATTAGCCTCTTCCTCATTGCTGTCACTGTCTTCTCTGGAGGTTCCATTTCTGAATAGTTTGGGCCAGTATTTTCTCTTTCATGCATCCTCCGCTGTCTTTTCCCCATTGTCTTTTCTTATCTTCCTGTAGTACACCTGCAGCTCACTCACTTCCATTCTGATGTAGTCCTTGACTGGGAGGCTCATGTGACTGTACATGAGCAGGTTCCTGGACTTCCACAGAGTGTTCCCAAAGCAGAAGATGAACTGGTCAAAGCAGGCTGTTGGGGCCCCTTGCTGCTTGGTCAGATATCCAAACAGCACCACCTCTCTGGTTAGGGTCTTGACCCCTGTTGCTATCATGAAGAATACAACTACTTTCCTCCACACCTCCCTGGTGTATAGGCAGGTCAAGAGGAGGTGGTTAATTGCTTCCTTCTTCCATTGACAGGTTTGTCTGGAGCAGTTTGATGGGCCTCTCTGCCTCTCTCTGTGTCTCAGCACCTGCACAGGGAGTGCCCAGTGGGCAACCTGCCAGTTCAAGTCCCTGTGTTCCTTCTGCAGGCCCTTGTGGAAAATACATTCCCAAATGGCC